GTCAAAGACTAACCATGAAAGTAGAAACCTAATTTAAAATTCATTCAGCCAGGCGTGGTGGCTCACATCTGTAATCTCAGCACTTTGGAAGGCCAAGGCAGGTGGATCACCTGAGGTCAGGAGTTTGAGACCAGCCTAACATGGTGAAACCCTGTCTCTACTAAAAATACAAAAATTAGCCCAGCGTGGTGGTGCGTGCCTGTAATCCCAGCTACTCCAGAGGCAGGAGAATCGCTTGAACCCGGGAGGCGGAGGTTGCAGTGAGCCGAAATTGTGCCACTGTAGTCTAGCCTGGGCAATACAGCAAGACTCTGTCTCAAATAAAAAAAAAAAAAACAAAACAGAGACATATGCCCATAGGTCTTTCAGGATGACTGCACATATCACAAAAAAATGGCCTTTTTCTTCAAATAAAAACTTACACGAAGAAGCAACAATTTCATGCCTTAAAAGTAATTTTCTGATTTTACTTTTAAAGTGCCAAGATTTAGTGGCTGCAGATACCTAAATCACTCTTGCAGAAGGCAATCATAAGTATCAACAGGCACTAGATGAGATTAGCTGGGTTTAAAAATGACTTCTCCTATTGACTCATTTATTCCCATCACCAGCATACAATCCTGGAAAGAACTAACAAATTTGTAACTCCCAGTTTCTGAAGAAACATGTTATAACCTCACATAAGGTAAAAATAATGAAATGCTACCATGTCCAAAGGCAAAAAGTAAGCTCTGTGTGTGTATGTGTGTGCATATATATGTGTGTATATATGTGTGTGTGTGTGTATATGTGTGTGTGTGTGTGTGTATGTGGAAGGCCAAATCTATCCCTGTTCCCGATCCAAACTTTTTTTTTGTTTTTGAGAGTCTTGCTCTGTCACCCAGGCTGGAGTGCAGTGGCACAATCTTGGCTCACTGCAACTTCCGCCTCCCGGGGTCAGGCGATTCTCCTGCCTTCAGGCTCCCAAGTAGCTGGAATTACAGGCTCCCGCCACCACGCCCAGCTAATTTTTTTTTTTTTTTTTTTTTGAGACGGAGTCTTGCTGTGCTGCCCAGGGTAGAGTACAGTGGCACGATCTCGGCTCACTGCAAGCTCTGCCTCCTGGGTTCACGCCATTCTCCTGCCTCAGCCTCCCAAGTAGCTGGTACTACAGGGGCCCACCACTACGCCTGACTAATTTTTTTGTATTTTTAGTAGAGACGGGGTTTCACTGTGTTAGCCAGGATGGTCTCGATCTCTTTGACCTCGTGATCCGCCCGCCTCGGCCTCCCAAAGTGCTGGGATTACAGGCGTAAGCCACCGCACCCGGCCGCCCCCAATTCAAACTTTAACAACTCATACAACTTCCCATTCTCTTAAACTGTAAAATTACATGGGCTTACACGACTCCAGGTTTTTCCTGCTGCTGTGGTAGAAAAGTGTTGAGAAATGTACCTTAGCTAGTTCTGAAGGAAAATATTTTTTTTTGAGACAGAGTCTCTCTCTGTCACCCAGGCTGGAGTGCAGTAGCGCGATCCCAGCTCACTGCAACCTCCATCTCCCGGTTCAAGCAATTCTCTGCCTCAGCCTCCCGAGTGTTGCGGGAAGTCAGGGACCCCGAACAGATTGAAGCCATGGCAGAAAAACATAAATTGTGAAGATTTCATGGGCATTTATTAGTTCCCCAAAATTAATACTTTTATAATTTCTTATGCCTGTCTTTACTGCAATCTCGGAACATAAATTGTGAAGATTTCATGGACATTTATAACTTTCCCAATCAATCCCCTTGTGATTTCCTATGCCTGTCTTTACTTTAATCTCTTAATCCCATCATCTTCTTTGTAAACTGAGGAGGATATATGTCGCCTCAGGACCCTGTAATGATTGCGTTAACTGTATAAATTGTTTGTAGACCATGTGTGTTTAAAACTTGCTGGTTTTACGGCTCGGGGAGCATCACGGAACCTGCCGACATGTGATGTCTCCCCCAGACATCCAGCTTTAAATTTCTCTCTCTTGTGCTCTTTCCCTTTATTTTTCAACCCAGCCAAGACACTTAGGGAAAGAGAAAAGAACCCACGTTAAATATCGGGGGTGGGGTTTCACCCGATACCTGAGTAGCTGGGATTACAGGCACCCGCCGCCACACCCAGCTAATTTTTGTATTTTTAGCAGAGATGGAGTTTCACCATCTTGGCCAGGCTGGTCTTGAACTCCTGACCTCATGATCCACCTGCCACAGCCTTGCAAAGTGCTGGGATTACAGGTGTGAGCCACCGCCCCAGCATTGAATACATATTATGTATCTAAAATAATTTAATGTTTTATCAGAATCTCTCTCCAAATCTTCTTTTCCATTAAGTTTTCATCACTCTCTTGACTCTCTTAGTAAGAACACTAACTGGGCTTCCGTGATATACAAATCATTATGAGCTTAGCACCATTCAGTTATGCATATTCAAAACTTTTCAGTCAGGTCGGGCACAGAGGCTCACACCTGTAATCCCAACACTTTGGGAGGCTGAGGCAGGTGGATCACAAGGCCAGGAGCTCAAGACCAGCCTGACCAACACGGTGAAACGCCATCTCTACTAAAAATACAAAAATTAGCCGGGCGTGGTGGCACATGCCTGTAATCCCAGCTAATCAGGAGGATGAGGCAGGAGAATTGCTCAAATTCAGGAGGCGAAAGTTGCAGCAAGCCAAGATTGTTGGGTGACAGAGCAAGACTCCATCTCAAAAAAAAAAAAAAAAACTTTTCAGTCACCTGAATTCTATCAACATTTTTAGTACAGGAAGATAAAAAACAAACTTGAGCTGAAACCATGCCAGCTGGAAGGTGCACATTTATATTACTAGATCTACCGATCTACATACCACTTTAAAACTATACATCGAATTTAAACATTCTCTACCTGCAACAAAGAAAGCCTTGTTGATTTGATATACCTGGCTAGAGTACTTCTATTTTTCTCCACAGTTAAAGAAATTAATTCATCACTCTTTCATTTACCAATTTTTTAAAAGCTGGCACTCACTCAAGTCCATTTGAAGAATGTTTTCCCAGCAGTTTGATCTAATTTACAATCAATTGAACTTAAGTACTTCTTGGGAATAGTATGTTCAACTGCTACTACTTTGACTTTCTATAGACAAAACAGTTTAAGAAAAAATCATAAATGTTATGAGGCCTTAAAATGAAACTTCTTTTCAGTATAATGTAAAGGAGAGAAAATCAAAATATAAAATGTAAGTTAAAAGATCAAATCTGTAAATTATTTTGTATCAAAGAAGTCTCAGAGTAACCAATAAACCATTTTGACAAGGAAAGTCTAGGTGAAATCAAAACTAAAAAGGCGACCAGGTGTGGTGGCTCTTGCCTGTAATCCCAGCAACCTGGGAGGCTGAAGAGGTCAGATGCCTTGAGCCCAGGGGTTCAAGACCAGCCTGGGCAATATAGTGAGACCCCATATCTGCAAAAAAATACAAATATGAATATTAGCCAGGCACGGTGGTACACGCCTGTAGTATCAGCTGCTTGGGAAGGTGAGGTGGGAGGATGGCTTGAGACCAGGAGACAGAAAGGTTGTGGTAGTTGAGATCGCCACTGCGCCCCAGCCTGGGTGACAGAGCGAGACTGTCTCAAAAAAAAAAAAAAAAAAAAAGTAAAAAGCAATTCAGCTTCAATACTGATGTACTTGTAAGAGTTTATGCCAAACTTGGTATCTATTTAAAAAGCAGCTTATACGGGAATAAGATTTCCAGTCAAAATGGACTGCTTTCATACTAAAATTATAAGGTCTAAAATAGTTCTCATTTTATAGACACTAACGGAGTTCCACATTCTATACCATGTTTCTTTTTAACATGTTCTTCCCCTATAACTAACTCCATTATCTAGCATCTAATCTTCATATTGTCTCATAAAGCAAATGTTTTTCTCCCAATTATGAGTATGACTTATCTCAATTTTAAACTATAGTACAAAAAGGAAAAAAAAAATTCAAGAAAAACATAAAAACGAAGCCTCTTTAAGGAGACTTTCATGTTCAAAGTACTTAATTTTTCGAATAGCTCATCAGCTTTATTATGCATATTATATCCATTTTATATGTATGAAAATGTGATTTCCCTAATATCACAAAATAAGTTAATTTTGGAAATAGAATTTAAATTGTGACATTTGGCCGGGTGTGGTGGCTCACGTCTGTAATCCCAGCACTTTGGGAAGCAGGCAGATCACCTGAGGTCAGGAGTTCAAGACCAGCCTGGCCAACATGACAAAACTCTGTCTCTACTAAATATACAAAAATTAGCTGGGTATGGTGGTAGGCACCTGTAATCCCAGCTACTCAGGAGGCTGAGGCAGGGAGAACTGCTTGAACCCAGGAGGCGGAGATAGCAGTGATCTGAGATCACGCCACTGCATTCTAGCATGGGTGACAGAGCAAGACTCTGTCTCGAAAAAAATAAAAATAAAAATAAATTTTAAAATAAAATAAATTGTGACATTTACTTTATTTCACAATCCTGTTAGGTTATACTATTCAATATTCCCCATAAACATTTACTCCTCTTTTTTTTCTTTTTCTTTTTTTGAGTCAGGGTCTCACTCTGTTGCACAGGCTGGAGTGCAGTAGTACAACCATGGCTCCCTGCAGCCTCGGCCACCAGGGCTCAATAGATCCTCCCACCTCAGCCTCCCAAGTAGCTGGGACTACAGGCACACCCCACTACACCTAGCTAATATTTGTTTGTTTGTCTGTTTGTTTTTGTTTTGTCATGTGGCCCAGGCTGGTCTCAAACTCATGGGCTCAAGGATTTGCTCGCTTCGGCCTCCCAAATTGCTGGGATTACAGGCGTGAACCACTTCACCCAGCTGAATTTACCCATTTCTAAAGTAACAAACATTGAAATCTTAACCTGAAAATGTCTCTCTCTCTCACTTACACACACACACACCCACCCCCCACATACGCACATGCAGACAGCAAATTAAAATGGAAAACAGCTCTTACCTTCATCTCCTTCTGGTGCATATGAAGCTGTAATAATATCAATATCAGCACAATTCATCACAATCTGATTAGTTGCCTGCCTCACCTAAGGGGAAAAGAAAAACCAACAGTGTCAGAAACAGCCTACATTAACAGTATATACAACTTGACCAGGTGTGTTGGCGCACACCTGTAATCCCAGCACTTTGGGAGGCCAAGCAAAGAGGATCGCGTGAGCCCAGGAGTTTGAGACCAGCCTGGACAACATGGCGAAACCCTGTCTCTACAAAAAATACAAAAATTGGCCAGGTGTTGTCATGTGTGCCTATAGTCCCAGCTACTCGGGAAGTTGACGTAGGAGGACTGCTTGAGCCCAGGAGGTTGAGGCTGCAATAAGCTGTGATCGTGCAGCTGCACTCCATCCTGGGCAACTGAGCAAGACCCTGTGTCTCTCAAATAATAATAATAATGATAATAGTAACAGACTTGGACTAATATCAGAGTCAATTTTTTTAAAATCCAGACTTTGCTAAAACCTAGACTGAGAATTTATGCATCAATGGTATAAATAAATGAAGTTTTAATAATCCAAAACAACTCATATTTTCCAAATTACATTAAATAATGAATGTTTAAGTATTTCACATCACTTACATCTAACCAATGAGCCAAATAAAACAATGTTTTCTATTTAAACCTTGATTTTAAACTATTAAAGGGCTGGGCACAGTGGCTCATGCCTGTAATCCCAACACTTTGGGAGGCTGAGGCAGGAGTATTGCTTGAGGTCAAAACTTCAAGACCAGCTTGGGCAACATAGAGACAAAAAAAATTTTTTTAATTAGGTGGCTGTGATGGTACACACCTATAGTCCTAACTACTGGAGAGGCTGAGGGAGGAGGATCCCTTAAGCCCAGGAGGTCAAGCGAGGCTGCAGTGAGCTATGATTACACCACTGACCTCCAGCCTGAACAACAGACTCTGTCTCAAAAAATAAAAGTAGGTTGGGGGCTCACACCTGTAATCTTGGCACCTTGGGAGGCTGAAGCAGGTGGACCACTTGAAGTCAGGAGTTTGAGATCAGCCTGGTGAAACCCCATCTCTAATAAAAATTATCCGGGTTGGCTGGGCACAGTGGCTCACGCCTGTAATCCCAGCACTTCGGAAGGCCGAGGCAGGCGGATCGTGAGGTCAGGAGATCGAGACCATCCTGGCTAACACGGTGAAACCCCGTCTCTACTAAAAATACAAAAAATTTGCCATGCGTCATGGCGGGTGCCTGTAGCCCCAGCTACTCGGGAGGCTGAGGCAGGAGAATTGCTTGAACCCAGGAGGCAGAGGTTGCAGTGAGTCGAGATCGTGCCATTGCCTCCCACCTGAGTGACAGAGAAACACTCCATCTAAAAAAAAAAAAATTATCTGGGCCTGGTGGCACACAACTGTAATCCCCAGCTACTCAGGATGCAGAGGCAGGAGAATCCCTTGAACCCAGGGAGTTGAGGTTGCAATGGACCGAGATCGCGCACCATTGCACTGCAGACTGGGCAACAGAGTGAGGCTACGTCTCAAAAAAAAAAAAAAAAAAAAAAAAAAAATTAGCCAGGCAAGGTGGCATAGGCCTGTAATTCCAGCTACTCAGGGAACTGAGGCACAACAATTGCTTAAACCCAGGAGGCGGAGATTGCAGTGGGCTGAAATCGTACCACTGCACTCCAGCCTGGATTACAGAGTGAGA